TTGTAATGGAACTTGATCTAGATATTCAATGTGAAGGCTGGGAATATTGTGATGGGATATTCAATGTGCAGGATGGGAATATTGTATTGGAACTTGATCTCGATATTCAATGTAAAGGCTGGGAATTTTGTATTGGAACTTGATCTCGATATTCAATGTGAAGGATAGGAATATTGTGATGGAACTTGATCTAGATATTCAATGTGCAGGATGGGAATATTAAATTTGCGAATCAACGGTTGATCCCTTTTTAAGTTATTCCTACAGGATATTCCTACATGGTATTCCTACAAGGTATTCCTACAGGGTATTCCTACAGGATATTCCTACATGGTATTCCTACATGGTATTCCTACAAGGTATTCCTACAAGGTATTCCTACAGGGTATTCCTACAGGGTATTCTTACTGGGTATTCCTACAGGGTATTCCTGCAGAGTATTATTACAGGGTATTGCTAAATGGCATTCCTACAGGGTATTCCTACAGGGTATTCCTACAAGGTATTGCTACAGGTTATGGCCATCACGGGATGTCACAGAGGAATTATAGAAATTGAGTCTGTATCACAATCTCTGATTTTCAAATTCCTATATCTCTGCAACCCAAAGTAGTAAACCTTAGATATTTCAAACTATGAATGTTTTTAGACAAAACAATCTGAGTTTGCTAAGGTTGCTAAGATTTTGGTTTTCGAAAATTTGAGTTTGTGGCAAAGACTCAATTTCTTTAACCCGTAAGAGGAAGATAAGCACATGATCCTAACTAAAAATCAAACTTTCGGTGAATTTGAGAAATACAACTGAATGAAATATGTTCCTAAAATCTTATCTTAATTGTTAACCATCTGTCTACAATTGGCATCACGAAACATGAGATGCTATTTCTATTATATCTAGATAGTAGATATTGTCAACAGTTTTAACCTACCACATACATTTTTAAATTATAGTCCCCCTTTTAAGATAACATCATACATAATTCTAAAATTACAATTTTGCACAAAAATAAATAATTGTCACGACTTCGAATTTCGAAAGTCAAGTAAGAAAGAAATTTGTTGCCCATTTAAAATTTAATAAATAAAAGAGAAAAAATTCTAGAAATTAAATAGTGCTGCGTATATTAGAGTCGAATTAAAAGTATCCAATATTGTTCTATGTTTAATGGTATCATGTATGTAAATATCTGAAACTATGGACAAAGAGAATACATTAATAAACTACGCATGATGAAATCAAGTTAGATTTCTGACGCACTCCATACTCCATAGATCATTTTATTTACTCTTCTTTCATATATTTCCAGTCGCACCATCTGTACACTGTACACTGTTCAGTGTACATACATTGTACACTGAACAGTGTACGTACATTAAACATACTGTATGCCCCACGAAACATGAAGCAATTAAAAAACGTATAAAATCAATAGTTTTTTGGGCGTTTCATATTATTAGTATTTTAATGATATGTATAATACAATTTTTTCTGTTGAAGCAATTTCAAAAATGATAATTGGCAACATTTGTTCAACCTCGATGGGCTGCAGAAATCATCTCTTCATGTGAGTTATACCACACAAAATCTTTTTGGATCAATTGGTTCGGTCGTTTTGATATTTTTTTTTGGATACCAGCATCGAATAGATAAGTGTATGAAATGAATCAGTTGCGCACTTCGTAATTAAAACTGTTTCAGATCTTCAGAATTTGAGAGTTTCGGGAGTGGTTTGTTACCTTGTATGTAATTTACCAAAAACTATGTAGTAAATAAAGTACACCAAACTTAAGAAACCTTGGTGTAAATCTTGGACGCCTTTTTTCGGTTCGTAACTATCAAGGATAAAAGACGACCTTTTATCGTCTCTCATTTTCATGTTTATTGTGACACACAGCTATTTTTCCTCCCTCCCTCCCCTTCCCCCTCACAATGTTTGTATCTCTATGCTAAGGTATCGATGATGGGGTTGATTGAACCATATCCTTCTTATAATTTATCGGAATATTTTCATAGTATTAATGTACAGAACTGTTTACCGTCAACCACCTTCCCACCCATAATTTCTGTCCTGTTGCCTCTGTTCCCTGTTTGCCTGTATATAAGGCCATTATAATTTGAAATGTATGTAATTATGTATTTACTTCTCTTTCTCTTATTAGCTAAGAATATACCTGTGTTTGATATACCTGCCTGGGAATAGTAATCTACAGAGTGAACAGGTGTTAATATAGAATCCATGCAGGATACAGGTTTACAGTCATATTTAGTACCTGGAGTCAGTGTTCTAGATTGTACAGTCATATTTAGTACCTGGAGTCAGTTTTCTAGATTGTACAGTCTTATTTAGTACCTGGAGTCAGTGTTCTAGATTGCAGAGTCATATTTAGTACCTGGAGTCATTGTTCTAAATTGTAGTCATATTTAGTATCTGGAGTCATTTTTTCAAACAAAATTTAAATTTTTTCTTCCACCAAATTGTATCTTCCTTTTATCTGATCATACATATCTGTTTTCTGTACTTCTCTTTTAAATCTATGCAATCTAGTTTCTTGTAGACAAGGGGAAAATGCATTTTGACACAAATTTCTGTATCATACTATTCTTTCATTTGATCATGGCTGTATTTGCAGTTTTCAGTAATGTCTGACAACAACTGTTGAAGGTTAGGTTCAAACACAATTTCCTCAATATTCTTACAGGTTGGAAAAATAAAAGTCACACTGCTCTAAGCGGGGTTTGAAAATTCTGAGGATATCTATTGTCAGAATTCTGCACTAATATGACAAATGGGATAAGAAAGGTTAGGCTAGGGGTGGATTTTTTCGACAAAAGAATTCTTGATTCTTGTAAGTCCATCTTGGACACAGTGCTTCAGAATACATGGCCTCATCTTTTCCTTGCAGCCAGCAGAATACAAACTGATATCATAGTGAATGGTGGACAACATTCTAAACATTCTACTTTCTATGTTTCCATTTTCCTTGTTTCTGGCAAGAAGGAAAGGAAAGAGAGAGAGAAACCCCTCCTTCTCTGCACTATTATTTTCTGTTTTTTTTCAAGTAGGAAGTACTGTTCTGTTCAGCCACAAGAAACTGGAGAGAGTTGTATAAGAACCTGACTGTTCTGAGCTCCCTTGATGCTTATAGATAGAAACAGATTCAATCGAAAGAATTAACATCTATCCGACGAGTATGGATACTTAATCACAGCTAACCAGGCTTGTTATAAGGAGTATATTTAAAGCCGCCATTAGCAAAATCCTGATCCATGGCTAGGTAAAAAACCTCCATTCACCAGGTTACAGCATTAAAAAATCGATGTTTCTTGTAGTTCCTTTTTTTCTTTTCTTCTTTTTTTCTTAGCTTCCACATAACTATTTATAGTTTCCGGAGTCTGTTTTTTATAGTTTCTACAGATACTATTATAGTTTCTGGAGTCTGCTACAGATACTATTATAGTTTCTGGAGTCTGCTACAGATACTATTTTAGTTTCTGGAGTCAGTTTTCCATAGTTGCTAGAGATACTATTATAGTTTCTGGGGTCAGTTTTCCATAGTTTCTACAGATACTATTTATAGTTTCTGGAGTCAGTTTTCAAGGTTTTACAGTATTATTTTGTACCTAGAGTGTTTTGTTAAGGGATTAAATTGTGAAATGTGATAACTACTAATTATAACGAAGCTTCCCTGTAAAACTTAATCCTTTTCTCTTTTTGGTTATGCATGGTTTGTGTACGTTTATGTACATTAGAAAACTTTTGTACAGAGTACTGAGTACACACAGTACACCAGTGTCGTGATAAACAAGGAAGAAAGAAGTGACAAATCCAAATTATACTTTTGAAATAAAGTTTATGGGAAGTGCATATTATAGATTGGTTTTTAGATGGTCAAAATCAAATCCTGAAGAAATGCACGATATTGGGTCCCTTCGGTATTGCTCTAATATTGCACTTCTTGGTTTAGATATAACTAGAAAAAGTTCAGATACTTTGAAATACATAATATCGAGAATTTGACATTTAAAATCTGGGGGGAGGAGGCTTCAAGAACATTTGCTTTATAAACAAATTTAAGTTTAAGATTTTCCATATTTTCTTAAATAATGACATGTTTCATATTTCTAATTGTTCCTTACAGTCAAAGGTAAATTAAAAAACAGCTGTTCTACAGAGAAGAGTACAACACGTAATTGTAAATAAAAAAAAACCTCTAGGTCAATAAAAGATTACAGTCACTACCCTTCTCCTTGTCTCTCTACCAGTTTTTATTATTAGAAATTTCTTCATGGGACTTTATAGCTAGGAAAAGTTTAGGTGAACATTAGCAAATCACAACATTACCTTTGCATGCTTTGTCTCTTCAAGGATGAGTGACATTTTTAAATGTGGGTTTTGTACAAAACTGGCTTGCGGATTTTGCTGCAGAAGCATTGGAGGAAATTGTCAAATTAAAAATATTCTTTATTAATATTAAATTGATCAGATAAAGGTTTAAAAGGTACTGTTCTGAATTGGGCATTACTTTTTCCAGAATTTGAAATTAAAAACAAAACAAAACAGTTGAAACCCCCCCCCCCCCCCCCCCCTCCCTCCTACAGCGAAGAGGTCTGCTCTCTATGTTGTAAAACCCCTGAATGTTGATGGTTTGAATTCTACCAGGTTTTAGAACTAACTTTAATGTGTTGGTCGTAAGTTTTGTTAACAAAATACTTTCCCTCGATATTCTTTTTCCGGAATTTTCTATATTTACTTTTTCTAAAGAATTTTTAATTTCAAATAGCAGCAGACTAAATTTCTTTTATAAAAATATGCCATGATTTTATATTAGAATATTAAAAACCTGCCCGGACAGGAAGGCCTATTCAAAAAACCAAAATTTAATGCGTTCTAACAATCAACAAATAAAAGAATGCGTTGACATTTTTTTAGATTTTCGAGCCTCTTTATATTAAAAAATAAAATATTTAATTTTTTAAAATTGTATTTTGTAATTTCAGATTTGTGAGGGATAAAATGTGGATAAACCTATTATGTTTAGTCTATATGGCCAATATTGTATCCGCACAATATGAGGTAAGACAAAATTACAGTTTTTGAAATAAAAAAGTCTTTGTCTTAAAGGGACTGTAGATAGTAAATGCCGTACACGTAAAATTTCGCCCAGAACTGTATCAATCCAGGTACAACTCGTCAGCTATCAATGTCATCCCAGATACAAGCTCAGCTATCAATGTCAACCCAGATACAAGCTCAGCTATTAATGTCAACCCAGATACACGCTCAGCTATTAATGTCAAGCCAGATACAAGCTCAGCTATTAATGTCAAAACAGACGCAAGGTCTTATTCTAGCAATGTCAAACCAATGGGCACAATACAAAGAGAATAGAATATATATTAGAGGGGAATTTACTCGAAAAAAGTGCAAAGCGGCCATTTTGTTGTACTGTTTCCATACTGCAGGTGTACTTCACATATTTGTGCTATAAAACCTTTTGGGCCCTGGAACATCATTTTATAGAAAATCTGAAATTAATATTAGAAGAAAACCAAATTATGAAATAGGCTAGTTTCATAATTGACCAATGATCATTTAACATAGACTCTATGCCTTTCATTTTACTAACGATGATTTTCCGTTATAACTATAAATCAAATGATGTTTTTATTCACCTTATTCATTTTAAAATGTTTATTTAACAGCTTTAAAAAAATCGAAATTGAAATGGATAGTCTGGGGAACATACCACATTAATGTACTCTACTGCATATAATTTGTGAACATTTACATGATTTGTACAATTTGAACTCCCTTTCAGGCTGAAAGGGACGGAAAAATTCATACCGAGAGATTGTCTAAACTCTCCTCTAATATATATTCTATTCTCTTTGGCACGATCTCAGCTCAATCATCGTTTCAACGAGGACCAGCTGTTAATGTCGACAGGGACACAAGGTCTTAATTGATCAATGCCAAACCTATGGGCACAATCTCAGCTCGTATGTTTCAACGAGGACCAAGGGTAGGATTGTGAATTGGGGTGTCACCGTCTCCTTATCCAGCATTTTCAAACTTAAAATGTTTTGCTTTGAACACGTAGTAGAGAACATGTACTTAGCGTAAATTATTTTGCTAAACAATCCTCCCCTTCACCCAACATTTTATATTTCTGTATTTCACTTTATTACTACATATTGTTGTTGTAGATGGATTTAGTGGTATATATCTACTAGATTAATACCAAAATGGTAAATTGCTAAACCATTAACTAAATTGAAATTCAGTTGAAACACATTGGTTTCCGCTAGATTCAGATTCATGTCTTGATATGTTTATATATTTGTATCTAAAAGGAGTGTAGAAATATCCTTCTGTTTATAAAATGCCATGAAGATTGGCATTTTAACTACAGAGCGTCCCATATCATATTAGATTATCTCCAATCTTTAACACCAAAATAAACCCTTAATACTCGAAAAACTTATCATTTTCCGCAAGAAAATTCGTATATAAGCCTTATGTTATTTTTCAAAATGATTCATTCTAATGAAATTTTCTAATTAGTCCCGAAAATCGTAATTTAGACCCGTTCTCGGTCAAATATGATATGGGACACCCTGTAGATCACTTAACCTTAGATCAAGAATTAATGAGAAATCCATTTTTTATAATTGAAAATTGATTTGACTAACAATGGATCCACGTTTAGTGACTTACAAATTTATGCCGCAGACAATGTAGAGTAAATTATGAAAACTTAAAACTTTTGAATAAAGAAAATCAACGATATTTTCTTCATTGTTACACAGATAGAGAGTTTAAGAGCACCGTTGTAAATTAAATATAACAGTTTGAAATGGAAGGTCATTGGAAACTACGTCAACAGTCCCTTTAAATCAAATATCAATGCAGTTAGATCATTGCAAACAATACATAAGCTAATTTGAAATGAACGTTTAATATTCATTTTATCCAATATCCATTAACTAAAGAGATGCAGAGACTTTGCCTAAGTAATTATATTGCTCTCTTGCAAAAAGTGAAACAAAGGATAATTATCTTTCAATTATTTTATATGTTAATGCAACATGCTACAATCAGGCCCGTAGATAAGAATTTTCCTAGGAGAGTTCAAAATCTCCAACTTGTTCTTGTATCTTTTGGATCTAAGCTCTTTGTCCTTGTATCTCTTGGATTATACTATTTGTCCTTGTATCTCCAGGATCTGTACTCTTTGTCCTTGTATCTCTGGGATTATACTCTTTGTCCTTGTATCTCCAGGATCTGTACTCTTTGTCCTTGTATCTCTAGGATCTAAGCTCTTTGACCAGTATCTCTATAGGATCTGTACTCTTTGACCTTGTATCTCTGGGATTATACTCTTTGTCCATGTATCTCTAGGATCTGTTCTCTTTGTCCTTATATCTCAAGGATCTGTACTCTTTGACCTTGTATCTCTGGGATTATACTCTTTGACCTTGTATCTCTAGGATTATACCCTTTGTCCTTGTATCTCTAGGATCTGTACTCTTTGATCTTGTATCTCTAGAATCTGAACTCTTTGACCTTGTATCTCTAGGATCTGCACTGTAGACCTTGTATCTCTAGACTATTTACTCTATGAACTTGTATCTCTAGAATCTGTACTCCATGACCTTTTATCTCAAGGATCTGTATTGTGGAGAGTTGAACTGCTACGATCTGCTAGGAGTGACCAGGGATTCTAATAAAGCTGAGATATCTAAAGCATATCGTAAACTAGCTGGGCAGTGGCATCCTGACAGGTTCAGGGAACCAGCTCAAAAGAAAGAGGCTGAGGTAATATCATTTACGTAATATATTTATTAATGTTTGAATTTTAAGTTTTCATGTTTGGATGACCGATTTGGATTATTTTATTTGCACCAGTCCAATCCTTACGTGATCAAAACTGGTACAAGCATTTACCTGTACCAGGTCCATTTTAACAGTACATTGTATACATGTATCGCTTTGTTTAGACAAGGTTTATGCGAATAGCTGCTGGCTACGAGGTCCTGAGAGATGAAGAGAGTAGGAAGGAATACGATTATATGATGGATCATCCTGAGGAGTACTTTGCTAACTATTACAGGTAGAAAGGAATACGATTATATGATGGATCATCCAGAGGAGTACTTTGCTAACTACTACAGATAGGAAGTAGTAGGAGTATATGATGGATCATCCAGAGGAGTACTTTGCTAACTACAATAGGTAGGAAGTACATAGTAGGAGTATATGATGGATAATTCAGAGGAGTACTTAGCTAACTACTACAGGTAAGAAATAGTAGGAGTATATGATGGATCATCCTGAGGAGCACTTTGCTAATTACTACAGGTAGGAAGTAGTAGGAGTATTTGATGCATAATTCAAGGAGTACTTTGCTAACTATTACAGGTAGGAAGTAGTAGGAGTATATAAATGATCATCCAGAGGAGTACTTTGCTAACTACTACAGGTAGGAAGTAGTAGGAGTATATAAATGATCATCCAGAGGACTACTTTGCTAACTACTACAGGAAGGAAGTAGTAGGAGTATATAAATGATCATTCAGAGGAGTTCTTTGCTAAATACTACAGGTAGGAAGTAGTAGGAGTATATGATGGATAATTCAGAGGAGTACTTTGCTAACTACTACAGGTAGGAAGTAGTTGGAGTATATGATGGATCATCCAGAGGAGTACTTTGTTAACTACTACAGGTAGGAAGTAGTAGAAGTATATGATGGATAATTCAGGGGAGTAAGAAGCAGTAGGAGTATTTGATGGATAATTCAAGGAGTACTTTGCTTAAACCATAAAAGAAAACAAGAAAATGAAATATATGAAGGAAAGCATTAAAAAACAAGAAAAAATAAGGAGGAATACATGCAACAAAATAATAAAAAGAAAAAAAATGAAAAACCCCAGAAGTTAGCATAAAAGAAAGCATTAAAGGAAACCTGAAAGAAGACAAGAAAAGAAAAGAGAAATAATTCAGGATAGCTAAAGGTCGGTTAGATGAATCAGCATGTTCTTAATAAAAAGGAAATGACAAAAAGCTGAAATCTTCCAGGACACTAACCTTAATAAAACTAAAACAAATATAAAAACATTTAAGTGGTTCTTGAGTAAAAACAATTCAAAATATCTTTAGAAAACAGGATCCAGGTTTGCAAATCCTAGCCTTGTTAAAAACTTTCAAAAAGTTCTGACTCCAGGTTTCTGAGAAGATGTGGAGAAGTGATGACCAATGTTAAACCACAGATATTATTAGAACTTCTTCACCTTAACATTCAGGGTTTTATTTTTATTTCTTCAAATATATATTTTACAACTGAATTTAATTTGTTCCGAACCCAAAGAGAAACCCCAACTAGGTAGAAACCCCAAATAGACAAAAAGCAAAACCAGGTTTAAAACCCCACCTAGTCTGAAACCACGCCCAAACACAAAATTTACCGTAAAAAAAACCCTTGAACCTAAAACCCTTGAACCTAAAACCTGCACTTGCACCTGAAACCTGAACCTGAAACCTAACTCTGAAACTAAAACCTTAACCTGAAACCTGAACCCAAATTTAAAACCTTAAACCTTAAACCTTGAACCTTAAACCTGAAAACTTAAACCTTAAACCTTAAACCTTAATCTAAAACCTTAAATTTTAAACATAAAACTTAAAAACTACAACCTAAAATCTACAACCTAAACCCTAAAACCTCAAACCTCAAACCTAAAGCCTCAAACCTAAAGCCTCAAACCTAAAACCTAAAACATAAAACCTAAAACCTGCACTTGAACCTGAAACCTGAACCTGAAACCTAAATATGAAACCTGAACCTAAACCTGACACTAAAACCTTAACCTGAAACCTGAGCCAAAATTTAAAACCTAAATCCTTAAACCTAAACCTAAACCTAAAACTTTAAACGTTAAACCTTAAACCTTAAACCTTAAACCTGAAACCTGAAACCTGAAACCTCAAACCTCAAACCTAAAACCTCAAACCTAAAACCTAAACCCTAAATCAAAAACCTAAAACCTAAAACCTGAAACCTGAAACCTGAAACCTGAAACCTGAAACCTAAAACCTAAAACCTGAAACCTGAAACCTGAATCTGAAACCTGAAACCTGAATCTGAAACCTGAAACCTGAAACCTGAAACCTGAAACCTGAAACCTGAAACCTGAAACCTGAATCTGATACCTGAAACCTGAAACCTGAAACCTGAAACCTGAAACCTAAAACCTGAAACCTGAAACCTTACCTACTTTAGGTACTACAAGAGACGAGTGGCTCCTCAGGTTGATGTTCGTGTCGTCCTTCTCTCATTAATCAGGAAACAAGCATATTATGTAAACAAATAATTAATAAGTTTAAAGGGACTGTTATAGTAATTTAAAGAATTCAAACAGTTTAGCGGATACCTTTGTCAACAATTAAGATATCATCGTTCGTTTCGCAAGACAATAGACAAGTCTAATTTGACATATTCCAAAGAATTGTTTGGATCATCTATAATGTGAATATATTTAATTTGTGTTTTTTTTTTTACAAATGTACATGATAAACTTGTATTTTTGGTAAAAAACTGAAGTTAAAATCCTCACCCAACTATTTAATGTTTCAACATTATTTTCCATCATTGTTTTCTCAAACTTTTAATAGAAAAATGAGCCTGAGAGGAAATGAAAAAGAAACTGTTAGAAATAATATTATTTTTAGAACTTGAGAATGGTAAGGATGGGAGGGATGAGAGGGATAAGAGAGACTAACACTAAAATATCAAAGATAAAAGAAAAAATTCCCCTTATTATTCATTTCGTCGTAATTCTCTTAAGTTCCAATGTTCTCACAACATCCATCCCCAGCTTAATAATCTCCTCATTACCTTTATTTTACCTACCCACCTCATGTTAGGTAAATATATTGTTAGGTAAATATATTTCTAGCTAAATAAATTGTTAAAAATTGCAGAAATTCACAAAAACTAAGGTTTTTGGTTTCTACAACTGAGATAAACTCTATTAAAAATGCTGAACTTTCTTTCTAACATTTTTTCTTTTGAACTTGTTTTAAAAATATAAAAGGATATTGCACAAATTTTAAATTCAAAATTTATAAAGTTTAAAAAGATTTGAAGAAATGTAATATTCTTGTTGTTTCCCTAGTATATTAGTTTGCAACAAATTTTCTGGACACGCAACTAGGAGGATTGCAGTAAACAACTTCAGGGACAAGGAATAATTCTAAATTTTGCAAACAGAGGGAGCCGGGGAAAATGCTCCAGGATATTTTATTTATCCAATAATATATTTAAATCCTTATAATTGCTTCATAACAGAACTGCTGTGTTTTTTCTTTTAAAGATGGCCGAAATTAGCCACTGGATCTTACTCCACCCCCTTCCCTCAACCATACCCCCTTAGTTATCTGCAATACACCCTAATTTTACTCCTCCCCCTTCCCTCAACCACACCTCCTCAATTATCTCCAATACACCCCAATTTTACTCCACCCCCTTCTCTCAACCTCACCTCATTAATTATCTGCAATACTTCTCCCCCTCTTAATTAGTCCTGATTGATGCCCACGACGTTTTAAAAAAAAGAATATGCAAACAAATGTATTTTTACATATAGATTGGAAATATTAAAGCTATCTAGATGTTAATATGGCCGCCGATATTTAAGCATTTATAGCCGGTTTACATTTTTCTATAAGTGTGCTTGATGTTTACAGTATTGTGTCAGCACTACAGTACTACTCTGCTTGGTACAACTTTAACCAAGCAATCATATATCTTGCTAGTGTACCTAAATATAGAATTCAGGTACATGCTTATTAAAGGTACTGCTCACAAAATTCAATTTAATCCGTTGTACGAGGTACGTTGATGGAATGTGCCATGCTGATTTTTTAATTTCTTAAAAATATTTCTGAACTCGTTTCAACGTGATAACAGTTTAAAGGGCATATGTGTAAATAGTAAATAGTGTACATTGCATCTATTCTCTCTTAAAGGGAAGTTCAGATTCCGCAGTTTCTATTCACGAATCTACTTTATTCATTCATCGCAATTTAACTTTTCGGGAAATGAACTGGATCACCGCAAACACATTTTTCATTAAATATTCTGAAGAAAATGCACAAAAACTGTAATTCTTACTCCGTGTAGAGTTTTATCAAACTGTTGTTTTCAGGCTTTAGAAATAGCAAAGAGTAAAGGACTGGCCATAAATCCAAAGCAGAAAGGTATACGTTTCAGAATTTAATTATATTTCTAAAATTTTCATAAAATAGGATTGTATATTTAGGGGTTTTTATAATTTAGCAAACGCAAATTTTCTAATTCCTAAACAGTCACACCTAACGGTGTTCCTTTTTGATTTTTTAAACTTAGACTATTTGATCTGACATGATTTATAGTTTGAATAATCAAAGGTCACGACATCGGGTTGCTAGAAAATCCGAGTTTGTTGCACGAACACAGTTCCTTTCAGGTGTTAGTAAGGAACAGATCCGTAAACTTGAAGAAGAACTTGTTAGGAACATAATTGCAGACATGATGGATTCTAATGGAGGATACGAGAAACCTCAGGTATTGTTCATATAGATTCAATAACTCGTGGGGGAACATAATTGCAGACATGATAGATTCTAATGATACGAGAAACCCAAGGGAAATAGGTTTAATTAACTCCTGTGGAACATAATTGCAGACATGATGGATTCTAATGATACGAGAAACCCAAGGGAAATAGGTTTAATTAACTCCTGTGGAACATAATTGCAGACATTAATGAAGATATTTTTACAATGGATACTTAAGACTGGTTATTTTATTACTAATTTTGGGAATATACTCTGCACGGACCTTAAAGTGGTGTTGTATAGGAATTACACGTTAACATACTATTTCTGCCTTAGAAGGAAATCTTGTTTTTATTCTGTTAGTAAAATAAGTGGCTTTTTCTCCATTTGAAGGTTCGAAGTATTCTGTGGGTTCAAATAGTTAGCTCTCCTCTCAAGATTTATACTTGGACAAGATTTCAAGCAGATTGGATCTGGAGGTAAAATAGAATTTATCTGTAAATAAATCTATTTTGGATAAATCCAGGGTCTGCAGTGATCCAGTCTATGTTCAATGAATAAATATAGAAGGAACAGCACTGGATTCAAAATTTTCAAACCAATTTTTCGCGTTTTTGTCGTCTACAAAAGTTTACATTTTTGTATCGTATTGTAATTCTCTTATATCGTGGACCTGGAATGAGAAAAAATTATAATACGAATAATCAATTCCTTTGTTATTATTTTTTTTGAAATATTTTTGTAAATTACAATGATTTAACATTTTATTTTTATATAAATCTTTATTGAAATTTTAAAAAAGCGTGAAACATATGAATTTATAAAAGATTTAAAAAACTCCAAAATTTTAATTTGTCATAACTTATATTTTACATGTTTTTTAATGATTAAATTATTTGAAACATTAGATTTAATCCTTCGGCTTAAAGTTGTTTGATTAGGTTTTGTGTTTTGCGACAGGATTATGGTGATATGGAGAAGGAATATCTTGTTAGGTAAATATATTGTTTGGTATATATATATTGTTAGGTAAAATATATATTGTTAGGAAAATATATATTGTTTGGTAAATATATTGTTAGGTAAATATATTGTTAGGTAAATATATTGTTAGGTAAATATATTATTAGGTGTATATATATTGTTAGAAAAATATATATTGTCCAGGAAATATATTGTTTGGTGAAAATATGTAAGGTAAATATTTTGTTAGGTGAATATATTGTTAGTTGAATATATTGTTAGGTAAAATATATGCATTGTTAGGTAAAATATATGTATTGTTAGGTAAAATATATGTATTGTAAGGTAAAATATATGTATTGTTAGGTAAATATATTGTTAGGTAAAATATATAATTATTATTTATGGTGAGAACCCTTTCTTCCATAAAATTCATATTCAGGAACAACTTTTTCCACTTAAACTCGGCCATTTTTATTTGGAATATAAATTTATTTATTTGGAATATAAATTTATTCATTTGGAATATAATTTTATTCATTTGGAATATATATTTATTCATTTGGAATATAATTTAGTCATTTGGAATATAAATTTATTCATTTGTAATATAAATTTATTTGTTTGGAATATAAATTTATTCGTTTGGAATATAAATTTATTCGTTTGGAATATAAATTTATTCGTTTGGAATATAAATGTATTCGTTTGGAATATAAATTTATTCATTTGGAATATAATTTTATTTATTTGGAATATAAATTTATTCATTTGGAATATAATTTATTCATTTGGAATATAAATTTATTCATTTGGAATATAATTTTATTCATTTGAATATAAATTTATTCGTTTGGAATATAAATTTATTCATTTGGAATATAAATTTATTCAATTGGAATATAAATTAACTGGCCAAGTCCTTTTTCTAAAAAGAAGATGTGAACACTTGTGTTCCTTGTTCTATTCTTAAACTGAAAAACTGCCTTTAAAGTTCCACGGGGTAACTCTTTTTTGTATTTTATCTATTGTAAAACTCTTTTGTGTGACTGTGGTTTTGTTTATTTGTGTATAGACAGGTGTATAAGTATCAAGGTCTACCTGGAGAATAATCCAGTATCAAGGTGTACCTGTAGAGTGTAGAATACTCCTGGATCAAGGTGTACCTGGAGAATATTCCAGTATATAAGGTGTAACCTGGAGAATACTCCAGTATCAAGGTGTACCTGGAGAATACTCCAGTAACTGAAGAATACTCCAGTATCAAGGTGCACCTGAAGAATACTCCAGTATATAGGTGTACCTGAAGAATATTCCAGTATATAAGGTGTAACCTGGAGAATACTCCAGTATCAAGGTGTACCTGGAGAATACTCCAGTATATAAGGTGTAACCTGGAGAATACTCCAGTATATAAGGTGTAACCTGGAGAATACTCCAGTATCAAGGTGCACCTGAAAAATACTCCAGTATCAAGGTGTACCTGAAGAATATTCCAGTATATAAGGTGTAACCTGGAGAATACTCCAGTATCAAGGTGTACCTGGAGAATACTCCAGTTTGAAAGTGTAAACTGAAGAATACTCCAGTATCAAGGTGTACCTGAAGAATATTCCAGTATATAAGGTGTAACCTGGAGAATGCTCCAGTATCAAGGTGTACCTGGAGAATACTCCAGTATATAAGGTGTAACCTGGAGAATACTCAAGTATATAAGGTGTAACCTGGAGAATACTCCAGTATCAAGGTGTACCTGGAGAATACTCCAGTATATAAGGTGTAACCTGAATGATACTACAGTATATAAGGTGTACCTGGAGAATACTCCAGTATATAAGGTGTAACCTGAAGAATACTCCAGTATATAAGGTGTAACCTGAAGAATGCTCCAGTATATAAGGTGTACCTGGAGAATACTCCAGTATATAAGGTGTACCTGGAGAATATAAAGAAAATACTGCAGATAACACTTACATAAATATAAACAGAAAGGACTGCAATCATTACAATGGATTAAGAACTCTAACAAGATAGATAAAACATTCTCTTTGGGGTTTCTTTCACACCAAAATAATGAAATTTATAAAAAACGTATATCATCATTTTTAATGAAAGCCTTTTTAGGACAAATTTAAAACTGAGTGAGAAACAGTGGGCTGCCCTGAGTGATCTTGAAAAAGGTATTTATGTTTTCTCTGCCGCTGAAAATCATCGTTGAAAAATTTCCTGAACTGCAGTTTGTTTTAATCGGGGACCAAATTTAATGAATTTGAACTACGTTGCTGAACTACAAACTTCCGGTTCAAATTTGAGCCACCGATTTATCGTAAAGCCGACATTAGATCGAATTTAAATAAGTTGAGCTACGTCTTTGAACTACCTATTCTGCCAGTTCAAATTTGAACCACCGATCCAAAATTAACGATAAAGGAAGGATTCGAATCGGTATTTAGAATTTGAACCGGAGGTAGGCAGTTCAGCCGGGTCTAGAACTGGCTCAAGTTCTTTAAATTTGGTCTCAATTGATTCTCAGAGACCCTTCATTAAATGAAATTGATAAATAAAACGTTGCATGTATCTATAAAGAACAAGAACTTTAAATATGATTTTATGTAATGCATACAGTTAAAATAATAATTTGTAGATGGATATATGAGCCGAGAACTTTGGGTTCGGGAAAATTGGGAGGAATATGTAAAGGAGGAGGAGGAGAGAGAACGGATTAGACATGCAGAGTCAGGTAATACAAGGAAGTCTAGCAATAAAATGGTCTTTATTTTGACACCGCCATTTACTTTTGATACTTTGGGGAACAATCAAACATATATTATCAATGATAGTTTTGATACAATCTACCCAAAAATTAATCTATTTTCCCACAAAAATAGCAACCTACATAATATCTGCCCAAACTGCCAAGAAACTCCACATGATCCAAACAACATATTCAATTGCAACTCCAAACCCACCCACCTAACCCCAAGTAGTCTCTGGGACAAGCTGCAGGATGCTGCAAGCTTCCTGGGACTACATGAAGAAGAAGAAGAGATTTAATGACCTGATGATCAACAACATATCAGGCTTTATTTAAAATTTTCCAATCAGGCCACAATAAAGATATCATTTTAGGAAATTTTATGAAAGTCGTAAGAAAGGGATAAAATAGAAGATGATTTGGTGTAAACTTCATGTTGAGAGAAATGAGGAAAATATCATCATTTGTTGCAATAAAAATATAAGAAAAAGAAATATGATAGTTAAAAAGAAAAAAGAAAGAATTTTTATGGAAGATGAACTTTTTAAAGAATGATATCTAAGAATTTTGAAACTTTTTAGAAAATCATATTTTTTCATCATTTGCCACTGTTTTTATGCCGTATTTTAGCTTTTTCAAAATCTCTATGGGGTTGAAGATAATAATTTTCAAAAAATGGGAAAGGTTGGCATTGTAAAATAGTATATCATGTTATAAAAACTTTATGCTATATTAGAAAACTACTGAGTTGTTATTTTTATAGAAACAAATACATTTTTTATTTGATTGTAACATCAAGAAATAAAAACATTAAACCCTACTAGGATTTTTTCAATTTTTTTTATTAAATATAATTTTAAAAATTCTAATTTTTAGGGCGAAGTAAGCAAGAAAGAAGATGGTTGAAGAATTCTGATAACAGGATGACATTTGACGAAAATTATGATTGGTAATCAATCGACAAGGAAATGAAAAATATATTTATTATTATGAAAACATGAAAAGGTCAATTATACATTTTTTACTGTAGAGTACTGTATTTCCTACAGGGTGTCCAAATAAACATGGGAATTCAGTGACAAATTCGATATCGTCTTTTAAGATAATTCTTTGATTTAGTATAGTGATACCTACTGAGAAAGCTGTAATCTGTAAGAGTTTCGTCTGCTATGTTGTTTGTTTATGTTTTGACTGCATACGGTTGTACTTAGTAAAACAAGAAAATTGCAGTATACAAACAGAGTAAACTTGTCCGTCTTCACTGTTCATCTTGCGGAAACATTATAGACATATCTTTACAGTCTTTTACCCTTTTCATAAATTAAACTCTAGCAGACAAAATAATATTATGGCTTTTGAAATTAGGTATTACCATGCTAATTCATAACAAGGACGATATCCAATTCGTCACTGAATTCCCATGTTTTTTGGGACACCCTGTAGTAAAGTGTTCTATCAAGGATCGCCAAAGTACACTTTTCACCTAACTCCTGAACGATGCAGTTTTTCTATCTAGAATATATAGAGAGATTATTCTGAAAACAAAACTTAAAATTCACTTAACTTTCTCGTTCACCAAGCTAAAAGCATAATACTATTATTTTGTAGAATTATTTTCCAGTTCGTTATGGTTGCGTGGTAATTATTGTTGTATATATAATTAGGCCTTATTTGCAGATATAAAGCTCTTAGAACCAAAACATATTGTACATTTTAATTAGGTTTATACGATAATATCATTAATTGTGATAAATTGTAATAAGTTGTGCCATTGTTCTTTTTATAAACTGTAATTGTGATTTAAATTCTGCACTGTGTGCAAATTTTTCATTTTTATTTTTGTACTTGAATTATTGTCATTGTTTTCCCAGAGGAAAAAAATGCCTAAAATATAACCCCCCCACCCCACCCCCACTTGTGAAAGTTTTGTGATTTCTCAATGTAATACGTTAAGTTTGTGTAAATATATAGTTTTATTATTTCATAAGTTATAAATTTAAGAGGTTTTAATGTTTTAAATGAAACCGAATTTTACGTTTAGATAAAAGTATTAAAAGTACGTATCTTTGTATTCAATGATTAAAAACAGTTCTTTAGACCTAACCCTTAAAATAATGCAAACTAAATAGTATCAATTCATGTTAAAAAATAGTTCAATCATGGTCATGTTGCAAACATCATTTAATAGGACGGACCTCTCTTTATAGTTGTGATAAAACAATTTATTCTATTTGTTAAATTGGTTTAAAAGTTATAATATGCAAAGCGCGTGTTTGTTAGTATATGGTTATAGGACAGGAGAAACTTTAGATATATTGTAGCAGGAAAGTGATGGATTGATCTTTCCTGCGATCATAAATAGTATTTTTTCCTTCTTTCCATCATTCTCAGTTTCTCCCCCCCCTACCCCTTCTTCCATCCCTCGTTATAGCTAACAGATTTATTCTTGTTTGTGTTTGAATTCTATAAATAACCCAAGCCACGCGGAGAAACCGTTATCCCAGAAACCCGGGGCTGGTGGGTTAGCCGGCCAGCTCACAGGAAGGCTAGGGTTAAATGCGAACCCAGGGTGGAGCGAAATCTGGGGAAAAAGAATCAGTTGATCATCAGCTCCCTTAAACTGAGGTTCCCTTGAAGATTCCCCATCACTCTGAAACTGCTTCAATTCATAATATCCTATTAGTATAGTATCAATCGTTTTATTTTTGTATCTTTGTAAATAATAAATTGTAAGAAAAACCGACTCGACGAATATTATATTTACAAGTGTTTGCATTTAGTTATTTTCTTTCATATACAATAATATTATCATAAATAAAGCATACATGTTCGTTATTTTAAATTTCATTCATATATTTTTAGCTTTAACTTTAAGATATTTCGATTCAAGATAAATATCTAATTTGATCCGTTGTTTACATTCAGAAAAATGAGCGTGGTTGCCGCGGAAATTCTGTTTCGTAGAGACTATGACCATTTTTAACAATGACCTAAAATTAACGGCCAAAACATGCTTATTAAGTAAGGGTGTCGTATCGTTTGCACTAATGATTGATCGGACAAACGTACATTCGCACTAACGTTCATTCGGGCTAACGTTTAGTACGACTGAACAACTAATTGTTCAATCAAACTAAAAACCATGTGGAAGGTTTTTTGAGCACGTGGAGAACTATTTTTTGAAATTCTAGCGGAATTCGGTTCATTTAATTAATTAGTTCCATTGAACATGATGTAGTGGTAATGAACAAAAAATGTTCGATTGAACTAAAGCTTTAAGTTCCGGTAAAATCGATGTTAGTACTAATGAACATATTTAGTGCAAATGAACAAAAAAATGTTCAATCAAACTAAATTAAAATCTAAAATTTTAGTATTTGCCCATAAAATATTATTAGTACAAATGAACATATGTTAGTGCAAATGAACAAAAAATGTTCAATCGAACTAAAATCTAAAATTTCACCATTTGCCCATAAAATAGTATTAGTACAAATGAACATATTTTAGTGCAAATGAACAAAAAAATAAGTCCGTTTTAACAAATTCTTTGTTGGAGATGTTCATTTGCACTAACGTTTAATTGCACTATTAAAAAAAATAGTCCGTTTAAACAACATTTTTTTGGACATGTTCATTTGCACTAACGTTCAATTGCACTAATATTTACTGAAAAAAATTTAGTCCGTTTGAACAAATTTTTTGTTGAAAATGTTCATTTACACTAACATTGCACTAATATTTTCAGAAAAAAAAATTAGTGCGCTTGAACAAATATTTTTTGTATTCCAGATCAATTGCACTAATGATCATTTGTACTAAAATATTTCTGGCGCGAAAATAAAATATTCCTGGCAGGAAAATATAATATTCCTGACAGGAAAATAAAATTTTAGTCCAATTGAACACAGAAAACCCGATTTTTGTTCATTTGTACCAATATGTTCGATCGTAGTAAAAACCGGTTACTGATCAGCAGACTTTAGTGCAAAAGTACGTTAGTTCAATCGGACATTAGTGCAAACGATGTAGCATCTAAGTAAGTCCTTAAAGTACTGAAAATTGAAAGCAGAAACCAAAAAATAAACTTTAAATTGTCATATCATCTTCTTTACAGTCTCCTCCTTTGTTGGTATTCCTATATTTATCAGGGAATAACATTTTTCATATGAATTTATGACAGAACTTTTATCATTTCGATCGGTTTGGAAAAAAACTTTTCTCGGTGAAAAACATTGACATTTTTAAAGAATTGTCTTTAAATACAAAAATTTTCTGTTTATAAACATCTTTTATTTGGAAATGAAAACACAATTTCAAAATTAATTAAACTATTATTTCGTTTTACAATTAAATCTAATTTTAAAATTAATTCAAGATTATGTAAAGACCGCCCCCCCCCCCTACGGTGCACGGGACCTGGAAACTCATAATTTCATTTATTTTAATCAGAAGTTTCTACAAACAATTAAAACTCTGTAAAGTTTGAATGTTTGCTGTTTTATATTTAGTTTGAAGGACTGTTAATGGTGGAAAATGAAAATGAAGAAACAAAAGGTTCCGCAGATTGCTCATCATTTTTCATTTACAACACATCTAATGCTTGACACAAAGGAATTAAGTCTTTGCCACAAATTCCAATTATCTAAAACCTATATTTCTACAACCAAATGATGTAAGCCTTTGATATTTCAAACTTGTATTGTTTGATATAACAGAATTCATAGTTTGAAATATCTAAGGTCTATATCATTGTGTTGTTAAGATATAGGATTTAAAATTCAAAGTTTGTGGCAAAAACTCAATTCCTTTAGAAATACGAAAACCTTTTTAAAAACTGATCATGATAAAGCAATAATCGGCTAATTGTCTTGAATTTTTGTTAAATGGGCTTTATTACGTATTTATTGATTTTATTATGAAGCTTTGTTTCTCAAGGTTTCTATGTATCAATACTATAAATATATCAATAAAATAAAATCCACATGTTGCTTTCTATTTACCACTGGGAAAAGGACGCGTTTGACACACTCCTTGGTTTCTATTTACCTATGAGCTATAGGTCCACTCCTTGGTTTCTATTTATCCATGAGCTATACAGGTCCACTCCTTGGTTTCTATTTATCCATGAGCTATACAGGTCCACTCCTTGGTTTCTATTTATCCATGAGCTATACAGGTCCACTCCTTGGCTTCTATTCATCCATGAGCTAAAGATCCACTCCTTGGTTTCTATTTATCCATGAGCTAAAGATCCACTCCTTGGTTTCTATTTATCCATGAGCTATACAGGTCCACTCCTTAGTTTCTATTTATCCATGAGCTATACAGGTCCACTCCTTGGTTTCTATTTATCTATGAGCTATAGGTCCACTCCTTGGTTTCTATTTATCCATAAGCTACAGACCCCCTTCTTGGTTTCTATTTATCCATGAGCTACAGATCCACTCCTTGGTTTCTATTCATTCATTAGCTATTGGTCCACTCCTTGGGTTTCTATTTATCCATGAGCTACAGGTCCACTCCTTGGTTTCTATTTATCCATGAGCTACAGGTCCACTCCTTGGTTTCTAATTATCCATGAGCTACAGATCCACTCCTTGGTTTCTATTTATCCATGAGCTATAGATCCACTCCTTGGTTTCTATTTATCCATGAGCTATTGGTCCACTCCTTGGTATCTATTAATCCATTAGCTATAGGTCCAGTATTTGGTTTCTATTTATACATAAGCTACAAAGGTCCACTCCTTGGCTTCTAATTATCCATGAGCTACAGACAGGTCCACTCCTTTGTTTTTATTTATCCATGAGCTACAGGTCGACTCCTTGGTTTCTATTTATCCATGAGCTATTGGTCGACTCCTTGGTTTATATTTATCCATGAGCTACAGATCCACTCCTTGGTTTCTATTTATCCGTGAGCTATAGATCCACTCCTTGGTTTCTATTTATCCATGAGCTATTGGTCCACTCCTTGGTATATATTAATTCATTAGCTAAAGGTCCAGTATTTGGTTTCTGTTTAACCATGAGCTATAGATCCACTCCTTGGTTTTTATTTATCCATGAGGTATAGGTCAACTCCTTGATTCTTTTTATCCATTAGCTACAGATCCACTCCTTGTCTTCTATTTATCCATGAGCTATAGGTCCGATCCTTGGTTTCAATACAATGGACTGAAGGTTAGAATAATTAATTCAATAAATTAATTAAATTAATTAAATTAATATATACTATATAGTAGGATCTTGAGAGTTGTATACATTATCTAAACAATAGTTTGGTTGTAGACTGAGTTTATACTTGGTAGTTTACGGCAACATGGTTATATGTACATTAGTTTAATCACAAACATTAAAGAGAATAGATTTAATGGGATTGTTAACGAAATTTTAAGTTAATCTCCTTCTAAAAAGATGTATGCCCGAATAACATCGACGGCACCTTTCTAAACGGCAGTTTTCATAAAAAATAATTCCGATAATAATGATCTAATGATAATGATCTTGGGACTACTTTTTAGGAGCTAAGACTTCTTGTTGGGAGTTGGGGCTACATGTTTTGAGTTAGGACTACATGTTTAAAGTATTGGACTATCTGTTTGGAAATCGGACTACATGTTGTGACAAATTGGTTGGGAGTTAGGACTACTAGTAATGTAAAATAGAGAGAATCTGGTAAGGATGTTCTTTTATTATATTTATATCGATTTTATATTATTTGGATAAAACCCATAAATGTGTCAGTTAAGAATTTATTAAGTATTTGGAAATAGCTTTGCAACATTTTCTCAGGAAAGTTTTAACATTTTTGGTTTAAGAATTATCTCTGGTTCAAGCTCTAGCATGCAAGATATGCATCCCTGCATTTTCAAGCTCACTTCAATTATAAAACTCAATATCTAATGCAAACACATTTTTTACAGGTTAAAATTTATATTTTTCACTTTAAAGAAATACAAGATAATCTATCAAAAATCAATAAGCACAATATTTTAGTTATTTGAAAAATATCATGAAGTGAAAAATGGAAAATGAGGTACATTGTACAGTGAACCCTAGAATACTCTAAAATAGGAAACCGACTTTTGAAATCAACTTATAACTTTAAAAAAAAGTTCAATGAGCATGCGCACAGTAATTGTGCAATTAAACATACCCATTTCACTTCAAGTGTCTAGTTAAACTAGCAAAAAATGTTAGTATTGCTATAATGTCGTCTTCCTATTCCATTGTATATTAGATATATATTATAAATCAGTATTGGTTTTAACTCAATGTTGAGTGTAAGAAAACACTAGGTATGTTTTACTGTGTGTTAATGCAGTGTACACTGTACATTGTACAAGTGTACAAGGTCTAATTCAAAGAAAAGGAACACTCGCAAAAAATAACAATTTTCCAACCCTTTTTACATGTAACCTGATGGTTAAAATATTTTAAATTTCAAACTGACGCTTTTAAATCTAGTTAGCAAAATCTAGCTAGCAGTATTTATAGTTTAAAATGCTAAATGGTTACAATATTAGGTTGCAAAAATATAGAAATATAAGGTTGAAAGTTGAAGGAATTTTAAAACTATATAGATATAAATAAATTAAAGCAACAAAATAGAATCTAACATTCTGACGCACTTTGACTTATTATTAAGCATTTTCTGTAGTTCTGAATTGCAGTACATTCGATCTATGTACATGGTAGATCCTATTGTACACTCTAGCAGTGTGCTTGGTGTACCCCCCCCCCCCTCTTCCTTGAAATTCTTTTCTTTGCTGGAAACTCCGATAGAATTTAATAATCCTTTCCTACACGGGATATACGGAGGATTCAGAACACAAATAAAACAAACTCAGCCATCTTGTGATTTTCGTCGTTATTTTAAAACAATGGTCTTCCTGGAACCAGATTTAAGGAATATGAGTTAAGTAACTAGTTGAACCATGTGTACTAAAGCTAAAGAGATGTGGTTCAACTTAGTCTAACCGGTTCAACTATATCGCGCTATTTATTAAATCATTGTTCTTTAAAATATATTTCCCCCAAAAAGAATTGTCTCTATGGTCATGTTATTTAAACCGTTCTATTTCTACTTAAATCACGCAATCTGTTCATTATAACTTATGATAAAGTCAAGAAAATATGATAAACAGAAATAAGATAAATTAAATTATTTAAAAAGTAATTTTACTTTAATTGTTCTTAGAATTTCTCAATAGAGTACACAATCTTCATTTATAAAAAAATAAAAAAAAGTTTTCTGTACTGCTTTTGTTCTACTATTCTTTTAGCCGTGGACTTACACTCACAGCACATCCCAAATTGTTTAAACCCATGCTCACTACGCAGATTTGAGCGTTAAACTCTCTTCAGTTTGACCCTTCATGTATTCGGAATGTCAGAATTTTCTCTCTATTTTCCGTGGCTCATCTTAAAGCTTCAGCCTCAACGGCCGCTTCATAGCTTATAACTTGTATCCGCCACTTTCCTGCCTTCTACGTTCTTATATCATGCCTACTATAATATATTATTTCAAAGATTCAAAGATTTTGAAACTGAACGATATCATTGTTGTAGTTTTTATGGATCTTGGGACTTGAGTTCACAATGTGTTTCAAAATTATAAAGCATACCTCATCTTTATCATAGCCCACCTAAAGGGAAGCCTAGGAATAAGAGGATTAACGGGACAAATATGAAGTTTTGAGGTTAACATTTTTTTAAATGAGAGTGCTCAAAGAATTGTCCCTGAAAAAAAATTAGTTTTTAAAATACAAAATAACAATAAAAGTTTTTGAATTATTTAGCAAAATAAAACTTATTCCATCCATTCAAAAGTTTTCAGTTTATTTAAATGTTCATGTAGGTATTTTAAAATTAAAAAAATAAAAAGTTCTTGATTATCCTGAACGCAAAATGGCGTCCGGTGTTAGTAACTTACAAATATAGATATATTCTGATTAATTTTTAATAAAAGAGGCCTAGCCTACCAACCCTACCAACCTACCGGAGTGTATTGGCAAGGTCTCCAGTTCTAGGAAAGGTCAGGGTTCCATGTTTACTCCGTTACCTAGTCAATATGGGTAAAATATCCGGCCTCAGGTTTTTCAGTATACGAAGAAACCGTTAACTGTTCATGGAGTTAACATGAAGTTATCTCTATTAATTCTACTCTTCGGAGTACTTTGTGGAATTACTGGGTCCAGATACGCTCTGCGTGGGTTTAAATGCGCTGATAATGTTCTCCCGTCCTTGATCCAGGTTCAGGGTGAGTTGAAGAGTTTAGAGGATATCTGCTCGAACCTAACCGTATCCGGGATGGACAAGGGAGCGGATGCAGGAGATGAGAAGAATGTTGAGCTAGTGGTTGAGCACTCCTCCATCCCTCTCCCTGACTCCGGATCCATCCTACTACAATCCAAAACCCTAGACACGATTAATCTAAATACTAAACTAGATACTGCTGCTCTAATTAAAAGGTTCAACTCTGCCTGCGGAACATCGTTCCTTGTCGTGTATCTCAAGGTAGAAGATGAACCTGCAGGACTGGATTCTCTAATCCTAAGAAGGAACTGCTCCGACAAGCCTGGGCTCCGTCTTGTTGTGAAAACAAGTTCTCCTAGTCCTAACTCAAATATAGATCGGGGAAACATGGAAAATCCATTAAAATCTCTAGGTATATCTTCTATATCTGTTGAAAACTCAGGGGAAGGTGCAACTGCAATGGAGAAAAGATGGATATTTGATGCACCGGAAGTTGCAGTTTTCTTTCTACCAATGTCTTTTGATATTGCAGGTACATGCACCAACAAATTTTGTACGGATACATAGTAAGGGGGAGGGCTGGGATCGAAATTTGTGAGTAGTGAAGTTGATCTTAAACGCTTCATCTCGATATTCAATGTTAGGCTTTTTGGAATTTGAGGATATAAACGCTTGATCACTTTATTCAAGTTAACCCTTTAGGGTACGATCATCACAGGATATCGAAGAGGAATTGAATTAATCCGTAGATCTCCATAAGATGAAGATCAATGTTTGATCCCAAGATTCAAAACACAAATTACGATCACACAAAATAAAAGATTGAACTGAAAACGATTTTTATTTCGCTGTACGTATCATAATTAACAGTGGACTGAAACAGAAAATGTAACTAAATCCCTGTTTGTTAGTATTTGTCATTTCCAAAAAAACTTTTTTAGAATCTACATTTGGAAATATTTCTGGAATATCTGAGATCGGAAACCTTCTCTACAATTGGAATAATTCCAATCCCTGGTTACTGGACAGTCCTGATATGTACAGGAATATGATCCAGGTTGAATTAAAGGATTTAAACATGTTCAACGCTCCACAGTTCCTTCATAGTTCCAACGTGCTCCTGGTAAAGTCTGAGGACGGGGTGCTGCCTGGAGTAGAGGCTAATGGAGTACTAGGATCATTAGACCTGGAGAAACTTGTCCTTCCTACCACAGCTCAGGCAAAGATCTAGAAGGAACATAGATTCATATAAACCTATATTGCTTATTAAAAGCATAGATTCATATAAACCTATATTGCTTATTAAAAACATAGATTCATATAAACCTATATTGCTTATTAAAAACATAGATTCATATAAACCTGTATTGCTATTAAAAACATAGTTTCATATAATCCTATATTGCTATTAAAAGCATAGATTCATATAAACTTGTATTGCTCATTAAAAACATAAATTCATATAAACCTGTATTGCTTATTAAAAACATAAATTCATATAAACCTATATTGCTTATTAAAAACATAGATTCATATAAACCTGTATTGCTTATTAAAAACATAAATTCATATAATCCTATATTGCTTATTAAAACATAGATTTATATAATCATGTATTGCTTATTAAAACATAGATTCATATACTCATGTATTGCTTATTAAAACATAGATTCATATAATCATGTATTGCTTATTAAAACATAGATTCATATAATCATGTATTGCTTATTAAAACATAGATTTATATAATCATGTATTGCTTATTAAAACATAGATTCATATAATCATGTATTGCTTATTAAAACATAGATTCATATAATCATGTATTGCTTATTAAAACATAGATTCATATAATCATGTATTGCTTATTAAAACATAGATTCATATACTCATGTATTGCTTATTAAAACATAGATTCATATAATCATGTATTGCTTATTAAAACATAGATTCATATAATCCTATATAACTTATTAAAAACATAGATTCACATAAACCTATATTGCATAAAACTATATTGCTTATTAAAAACAGACATTTATAAAATCCCATAATTGCTTATAAAACATGTTAAAAGCGAGGTTTAAAATAAGTATGGACATTGTAGCCGAAAGTAGTTGAATTAGAATACCTAGTTCGACTACTTTTTTCTACTTCATACTTAATCCGAATTGAATTAATTTAATTACTAAATATGATTATTTATTTTAAAAGCAATTTTTCTATTATTGATCTTTGACATCAGGATGCAGGCCTTCTAATAGTAGCACTAGACCCAGAGAATAAGATTCCTGATGGAAACTATACTGATAATATTTTCATGGAGTTTATTAACATCAACTATACCAGCGAGATCCCAAACCTCTGTTCTGTTAGTCCTTTGACACAAGGTAATTAGCACTTATTTTATAACTTGAAAAGATAACATTAAAACTTTGATAGTTTGTATTTATTTTTAAAACTATACACCACTTTCTGAAGAAGCTATACTACATATTATCATTTTTCAGATAGAAAAGCAAAAATATTGCCATACAATCCATGGGAGATAAAATATTAATTCAAGGATACTTTTGTAATCCATAAATTCAAGAACTAACAAAGAAAGGGTCATTTCGACACAGCACCTTGAGATGTTCTAAAAAATTATTTCCTTTTCTTCTTTTTATAAACAAAGAATTTTTGTAAATTATTTTTATTTCTTCAAGGACAAAAAGCTCTTCTCCGATATGAACCACCGTGGGAGGAACAACAAACCTTAGTTATATCTGCTAAAGGAAACAGAATGAAGAAGATTTCAGAAAAGAAGAGAAACATCCTGAAGCTACAGGAACACTCAGCTCTTCTGAAGGCCAGCCAATGGGGAGATGAATGCAAAAGCCTCAGTAAGATTATGGACAGTACAGCTGATAGTATTGAACCTGTTACAGAAAAGTTAGTCAGCATACTTGAAAGCGTTAATACTACTTTCCTTGATGTTCAGGTTTCAGAGGAGGAAGCAGAGAACAAAACTAGAATTAGTAAACTCATCAATGTTCTCACAGCTTCAGCAAAACTTCTAATTGAAGATGAAGCATTGAGTAAGATGATTGTTGGAGCAGGAAGAAAACTCCGGAGGCAGCCAAGCAGACCAAGCATAGGAGGGTGGACAGACCAAGGAAATATTGGTGGATATGGAGGTTACCAAGGAAATATGGGAAGTGGATATCAAGGAAATATGGGAAGTGGATATGTGGGAAATATGGGAGGGGTTGAAGGAAGTATGGGAGGGTTTGAAGGATATATGGGAGGAGGATCACAAGGAAATAATGGAAATGAACAACAAGGTAATAATGGAAAGGGACCACAAGGAAATAACGGAAAGGGACCACAAGGAAATAATGGAAAGGGACCACAAGGAAATAATGGAGAGGGGCCACAAGGAAATAATGGAAAGGGACCACAAGGAAATAATGGAGAGGGACCACAAGGAAATAATGGAAAGGGACCACAAGGAAATAATGGAAATAGACCACAAGTAAATATGGGAGGAGGCCCACAAGGAAATAATGGAAATAGACCACAAGTAAATATGGGAGGAGGTCCACAAGGAAATAATGGAAATCGACCACAAGGAAATAATGGAAATCGACCACAAGGAAATAATGGAAATCGACCACAAGGAAATAATGGAAATCGACCACAAGGAAATATGGGAGGAGGCCCACAAGGAAATATGGCAGGAGGCCCACAAGGAAATATGGGAGGAGGACCACAAGCAAATATGGGAAATGGTTCTCAAGGAAATATGGGAGGTGCACCACAAGGTGGTATGGGGGGTCCAGATATTAACACATTTACAACAACAGTGCAAAGTATTGAGTTTGGAGGCCAGGGAATCAATTTTAACCCAGGAGCAATAAATAATATCAGCATTGATGACATTCCTCTCGAAGCTCTTGTTGATCGTGAGAATTTTGAAGAGATGAGTGAGAGTACAATCGATTCATTTTTAGACCAACTTAGCTCTCTCGGGTCAATAACCAGCAGCTTTGATTTTGGATCTAGTTTTAATGATGCTAACATGAATTGGTCAAGAAAGAAAAGAAATGCAGAGAATGATGATGATGATGATGAGGATGAGGATGAGGATGATGTTGAGTACGACGAGGAATATGAAGATGAAAAGAACTATAAAGATGGGAAAGCCAACAAGACAAATAAAAGACAATCAGGAGGAAAGAATACAAAAGGAAACAACAAAAAAATGTCCATTCAAGGAACACTTCAGATGATGATGATGATGGGGGAAGACAAAAGAGCTCCTGCTATTGTCAAAGACATTTCCCTGTTCATGCGAGAAATGATCTTCACCCCGGACGATGAATCAACTAGCAGAATAGGATCATTGATCCCTGACAAGTTGAAAGGTGAAATGAGAGAAGTTGTGATGATGCTACTGAAGGAAGAGATGCCTCTGGAGGTTCTAAGTCTTGAAGCAAAAATGATTTCTAAGATGGGGAAATCCTTGATGAAGATTATGCATAGCATGCTTCCGATCGCAAAGGACGATGTCAAGGATATTTTTGATAAAACATCTAAAGTAATGACAAACAAAACAAATTCTGAGACGGATCCAGAAAAGAGAAAGGTTTGGGAATTAGTTTCCAAAATCTACGAAACATCTGTAAACAATGATGAGGTCAAAAGTAATCTTGAGGAGGTGCTTAAGAGAGTTCAAGGTATGTCTTTAATCATTTTTAATAGATTGTAGTTGCCATTATAAAATGTTTGTTTAAAGGAGCTGTTATGATGGGAAAGCCAATGCCAATGATGTACGGAGAACTTGGTTCAGCGCCATCAATGGAGGATTATTGCACCAACTACGCAACCTTTGTTCAAGAGGAGGTAAACAAGGGGGAAAAGCCAAGGGATATGATGAAGATACCTACAGCCTGGAGAAGGAAGGACGAATCTATATACAAGGTTGAGCTTTGTCCTCTTACTGGAGGATGGTATTGGAGTAAGGTTGCTTTATGTTCATGTCACAACTAAACTGTGAGATTTTGATAGACTTTCATATGCACTGAATCCAAGTATTTATTTTATGGACTGAAAAATACCTTTATTGAAATAGTGTCGATTCAGTGAAAATAAAAAAAGGTGTGGTTGATTTCTCTTTAAGGAATTATCTGATAAATTGATTATCTGTGCCCGCTAGCTTCATAGCGAAGTCAATCAAGGAAAGAACTGGTTTAAAAATATTTGTCATTCCTCTTCTGCATTATGAATTTAAATGAGGACACACAAATACAGTTAATTTAATCTGATTCAGATTTTATCCGTAGTTTTTAGAAGATAAATCAATTTATACTATTGATTTAAAAATATTAATCTTTCTTTTATCATAATTAATGAGAAAGCCTTGTATTTATACCTCCACAAACATGATATTGTGACAGGTTAAAAATCCATATATTTCAACATTTATTAATTCGCTTGTTGTTCTAAAAGTTTGATTAATTAATTTACTGCTTTTTGTAACTTTTCATAATAAGAACTAATGAATTTGCTATTTTTCATTTTAAATCTTCAAAAACGCTTTCTTTTATCTAAAATACCTTGTTTGCTTAAAAAACAATGCAATTTATAAAGTGTGATCGATATACTAAAAACATCTTTTGTTTTGTCGCTTTTAAAAATCACGTCAGTTGAACTCTTCGTATCAAATCTAAATAGTGTGAATATTTACTAATAAATATATTATTTTATTATTTTAATCGTTTATGGTTGGACAGAAAAGATAATGTTTTTTATATACTGATATTGCGTGAAGTCTTAGTTTGCAGATAAGCAAAGAAGTAAGCAGATTTACCGACATAGGGTCAAACAACAATGGGTCATATGCCATAGGGTCAAACGACATAGGGTTAAATGAACTAGAGTCAAACGACATAGGATCAAAAAAGAGACCAAGGATAAAACTACCTAGAGTAAAACGACATAGTATCAAAAAATGCGACGAACGGACAAAAATGTGTTCTTTTGAGAGAGACAGCACCTTATTTAACATTTAATAAGCCGCAGCGCTCAGCCCCCTAGCCCACCCTAGCCGCAGCGCTCGGCCAAGAAATTGTCTGGACCTAACCTAACCACAAATAATGTGAGAGACAGCATATTTTTTAACATGTATAAAGAAAAATTAGAAAAAAATATATTTTCTCGTGTTTTTGACCGTTTGTCGTTTGATCCTATGTCGGCCTGAGTACCCTACTAACACAAAAATATTACCAATTTACACAATGGGTTATAAAACACCACCGGTCTTTTGAGTTATTAATAAAAGTTTTCAAGTTATGTTATGAAACAAAAAATATTTCATAAGTAATAACTGCATTGAACCTGAACAATTTACATATAAAATATAAATCAAGCAAAAAACACCGCCCGCAATATCTTAATTTTTACTAACTAGTTAGAGAACCCGAGGTTGCCCAGGTTTAAATCCCGCCGTTTATCCGAAATTGGTATTAAATTATGATTTTGACTGAAATGCCCGGCGTTTCCCGTGGAATTTCTAAAATTTTCTAAAATGTTCTATTCTATGTTACCCCAGGGGTACCCATAAGTTCCTTAAAAACAAATTCAGCCAATTCGGTTCAGCCGTTTGACCAGCTATAGCTAACAAATAAAAATATATTTATGGATATATGAACAAAAAGCTTTTGCTAATTAGATTTCCCTTTTGGAAACCGACGACCCAGCTCCAATACGGTTTTATTCTATAAGTTGTTGAAGTTAAATTTACACCTGTAATCTGATGAAAAGTTTTGACACTTTCAACAGAAGATTTGATTTATTTCCTAAGTTTAAATTTTGTTTAGTTTGGTAGTGGAGAATTGAGTAGAATGAGGGGGCCAGGGGGGGGGAGAAAGTGGGGAATTGAGGAGGGGGGAGCGGGGGGGAGGGGATTGGATTAAGAGTGTGGAATCAGAGAAGAGGGCGGGGGTACTTTAAGGGTAGGATATGATACTGAAAGATGAGTGTGGGGGGGGGTAGGGTTAGTTTAAGGGTAGGGCAAAGCTAAGAGATGAGTAGGGTGAGGGGGAATAGTTGTGTAAAAAATTAAATTTGGATATATTTATCATGAATTTTAAACTTAAATACATCGCAAAAGAACTTAAAAATCTACAAGGAGAGTAAAAATGGTGAATAGCGAAATCATGCATATAATAAAGCATTTTTTGGTACGCAATCTGAAAGATCATTTAAAAAATCCGCTAAACAATCATTTACTTAAAATTAAATGAGTAGAAGAACAAAAGTAGGGGAACATATTATTTCTATCACACCTTAAAATCTTAAACAGATCAGATGAGTAGTTTCGGAGAAATTGCAGGAAACAACAGAGGCCGTTCCTTCCATGAACTACATTGGTCGACAACTTGACGTCTCCTATATTGGTCGTTAAATGTACGGAGAAATATCTTTCTATCAGATAAGAATTTAGCATGAGACATCTAGCGGCCAACATATCGTCCCCCAAAGTACGTGAACTACACGACCACTATATATGGAGAGAACGGGCTCAGATATCTTTCTTCTTGTAGTATTTTAATAATAAACTCGTTTATGCGTATTTTCCTATTATTCTAATTTGGACATTTTTACCTATGTAAAAAATTCAGATTATAAAAAGAATTTAGAAAGAAGAAAAATCATCAAATTGATTTGTTTCAAAAATAAAATTGCGGATTTTCTTAAATTAATTTCGTGCATTTTCTCCAGAACTTTTCATCTGATCTGGTTAAGATTTTAAGGTGTGATAGAAATAATATATTCCCGCACTCTTGTTTTTCTAATCATCTAATGTTGAGTAGAAAATAGTCGCGGATCAAAAAAAAATTAAACTTTCATGTATATTTTTCAAAAATGAGATTACCAAAAAAATATGCTTTATTACATCCAAGATTTTGCTATTCACCCTTTTTTTTACTGTCCCTGTACATATCTTAACATATCCGAGGTTTTCAAATTTCTTCTGAAAATGAATAAATTCTGGACTCTGAAGAGAGTGGGTTACTCAGGAAGTAAGGAATAGAAGGGAGAAATAACTGACGCGGTTCGCACTACCATATGATTAAACATGCTTTGCAGACGGGTACTCCATTTGAATAAGATATATTTGTCTGATGTACATTAACTGCGTATACAATAACCTATTCTGAATATTTCATATACAAATGGAGTACCCGTCTGCAAAGCATGCATAATCAAATGGTAGGGCGAACCGCGTCAGTTATATCTCCCTTCTATTCCTTACTCCCTGAGGTTACTGCACCCTGAGATACTTTAAACCTGAAATGGAACGGAATAAAAGTGTTTCACACTTTAAACTGAGGTAATCATAGGAGATGAAGGGGAACTACAATGTCTACAGGGTGTCCTAGTAAACATGACAAAAGAGAAACGACAAAATAAGCAATTTATATAAATATACATATATACTTTGCTTGTCTGTATGTACATTGTTTGTTTGTGTCCAATAAACGGCCATCGGACCACAGATAATGTTTTTTTTTTACTAAAATGCACTAGTCTTTCTCTGCTTTTAACTAAATTTTACTGTTTTGTGGGTCGCCATGTTGGATCTTTAGGAAACAGACTGAAGAGAGAGGGATTTCTTTTCATGAATATCCTGTGCGTCATCCATTAAATTTATTGGAAGCACTCCTCCCTCTGTTCTCTTATTTTTATCAAATATTTTCCCAACTTACTCCTACTCCCCTCTTCATATCATCCTAAACTATCCTTCTAATATCATCCCAACCTACCCTCCTATAATATCATCCATACCTACCCTCCATAATATCATCCCAACCTACCCTCCTATAATATCATCCATACCTACCCTCCATAATATCATCCCAACCTACCTTCCTAATATCATCCCAACCTACCCTCCTAATATCATCCCAACCTACCCTCCTAATATCATCCCAACCTACCCTCCTATAATATCATTCCAACCTACCCTCCATAATATCATCCCAACCTACCCTTCTAATATCATCCATACCTACCCTCCTATAATATCATCCCAACCTACCCCCCTAATATCATCCCAACCTACCCTCCTAATATCATCCCAACCTACCCTCCTATAATATTATCCCAACCTACCCCCCTAATATCATCCCAATCTACCCTCCTAATATCATCCCAACCTACCCTCCTAATATCATCCCAACCTACCCTCCTGTAATATCATCCCAACCTACCCTTCTAATAGCATCCTAACCTACCCTCCTATAATATCATCTTAACCTACCCCCCCTAATATCATCCCAACCTACCCTCCTAATATCATCCCAACCTACCCTACTATGATATCATCCCAACCTACCCTTCTAATAGCATCCTAACCTACCCTCCTAATATCATCCCTACCTAAACTTCTAATATCATCCAAACCTACCCTTCTAATATCATCCCAACCTACCCTACTATGATATCATCCCAATCTACCCTTCTAATATCATCCCTACCTACCCTCCTAATATCATCCCAACCTACCCTCCTAATATCGTCCCAACCTATCCTCCTATAATATCATCCCAATCTACCCTTCTAATATCATTCCAACCTACCCTCCTATTACTATCTCAACCTACCTTCCTAATATCATACCAACCTACCCTCCTAATACCATCTCAACCTACCCTCCTAATATCATTCCAACCTACCCTCCTAATACCATCTCAACCTACCCTCTTAATACTATCTCAACCTACCCTCCTAATATCATCCCAACCTACCCTCCTAATACCATCTCAACCTACCCTCCTAATATCATCCATACCTACCCTCCTATAATATCATCCTATCCCTACCAATTACAGAGAGGACAGTAAGAAATTAATTAAAGCTTGTTTTTCTTTCTTTCTTATTTTATGTTTCCTAAAGTTTAAAACTTTTGTAATTTTCTTAACTTTAAAGACACATCTATATTTATATTTGGCTTGTATGTTAGGAAAGAGTTGGTTTTATGGTCAAATTGGCTGAACTGATCAGGCCAAATTCTTTTGAGGTATCTCATGAACCCGAGAAGGTTAATGACCGACTACAATTAAAAAAAATTGGTGCACACAATTGTTGATTAAAAAAACTATTAATCCCCCAATTAAAACGAGAAAATCAGCGATTTTTTAACATCCATTATTTTAAAATGTACGAATATATCATAAAAAGCCCCCCCCCCCCATCAACCGTAAAGAATTTAGTATAAGTTAAATGGTAAATGGTAATGTATGAAACCTATTCTAGAAGTAGGTGAAGAAAATGCCATCAGTTACTATTTATATTCACATTAGAGGGATCTTTACAGCCGGAATATGATAATATGGTTTAAATGGGGGGGGGGATAAAGTGTTATATGATAATATCATAGAGGAGAGCTACAAAAACATGATAATTGACATTTTCTTAGAAAATTTTAAAAAGAGGTTTTTTTGTCCCCAGGACATGATCGGGTTGTTACGATCAAATCTCGGAATTTTTTCTATTGCGAAAGTTTGGTGTTTTCTGGGTTTTTATATTGATCTACCAGGGGTTGTAATCTGGCAGCACATTCATCCATCCACGCTTCATTCATTCTGAGAAGAGGGTTGACAAGATTCCAGCTGCCTAAGATTCTTCTTAGGCCTGAGAATATAGAGTGCAGGAATCCTTCTGATATACTGGAATGAGGCCCGGGTGCCGTACTGATAGGAAACATCAC